CCCCCCCCCCTCCCCCACCATCACGCGGGACCCTGTAAACAGTAAGGCCATTTTGACTCACCGAAATCACAGAGCTTGAGAACATCATCAGAGCTGATAAGGAGATTTTCAGGTTTGATGTCTATGGTGGTGGAGGAAAGACAGGGGGTGTTTACAGAGCAGTAAAATGCACATTTAGTAACCAGGAAGCAGCTAGAGGGGGAGTTTAATATATGATTATAATTACGATTATGAAAAATGTACCTCACTGATCAACACAGGAAACGCTGAAGTGCTGAGTTGTACAACATAATTTAGAATTTAAAAAAAAACTGGAAACCTGTTACTTCACACTCATTTGGATATTCAACAAGTTTATTTTACTCCAGCTCAGAAACATGCCACTGTACAATGTTCTGTTCACAGACTGGGATCATTCTCAATACAACACTTTCGTTTCTCCAAGTACTTCCACAAATTTCTCGCGGTACATCATACAGTCGTGTGGCATCACACTCCGCTCCCCTACAGATGGCAATAATGCCAATGAAACACGACACGACTCTCTCGGATGGGAAATTAATAAAAGTAAATTCTCACCTTTATCTCCAAGTGACTGAAAAGTTAGACTGTTTTTGGTGGAGTTCTGATGTGATCCACAAGGCTTATGACATCCAACTTCAAAGACAATCCCAGTTTGGTCTTAAAATGCCCACCAATGTCAACCTGTGAAGGCTTTAACTCTAACAATGCTTACAAATGCTATGTCGTCTCATTGTGGTCATGGCATGCAGTGCCTATGGGAACTGGCATCTCTCTGCTATGCCGCCGTACCCCAAAGAGAACGACCTCAGTCCCCGATCTGGGATGGAAACCTGGTCTAAAGCCACAGAGAGACTTTTTTTCCAGGGGCTCATAAAACCATCAGATGTTACTGCCGCCCTTTTGGGCATAACGATTCTGCCTCTGCCTGCCCCCTTCTGTGGGCAACCTCATTATAATGCGGGGGTCAACATGCACTGGATGACTGGGAAAAGGCTTAGGAGCCCAGAAAAATTCCCAGAAACTGTATGATGCAAATAAAAAGCAGAGTCTCTGTCCCACTTAGTCCTTCAGCTGGCAAAGAAATTGTTCCATTGTTTGCAGAGAGAAAATCAGTTGGCACAAAACAAGAAAGAGATTTACACGTTTCCACCAGGGGAATTCTGGCAAAATGTGTGACTTTCCTGTATGTTTACTGTTGTAGGTGTTTATACCAGTAAAGCTTACAGACGGGCAGCAGTACCTACTGTTTCTGTAATAAAATCAACATTATTGTGGTATGTCTCCTTGGCTTGTGGTTGGAAGATTCGTATCGTTCCCAGAAAGTGTCCTGTCATCCCTCACTCCTCTTACCTGTACTTAGCCTCAAGAGTTCATGGGAACTAAGCACTGGTGGTTTTACAGGGTAAGAATACCATAATTTTATTAGAAATACAAGGTAAAGCAGGAGTGTGTTAAAAGAGCTGAGGATTTTCAACATGTTGTGGGCGTCTCTGGGTTTTCTAGGCACTATGTGATCATCAACAGCAAATTCAACTTTTCCGTATAATTTATACTTTCGAAACACTGAGGTGAAGATCTGAGAGGAGCGGGGATCGCTCTAGATGTCCCCCCCCACCCCGGCGAGGCCCCCTTACCCCTGTGAACGATGTCGTTCTTATGGCACCAGTGGATGGCTTTGATGAGCTGGTAGATGTAGTTCCTCACTTTCTCGGGTGGGGCGCCGTTTGGAAGCTCCTCCAGCAGCTCCAACATGTTCTGGAAGCAAACGCCAGAGTCCTCCCGTCAGAGCCTGTACTGACCTGTGAGCGGCGACTCTGTGCCCAGAAGGATCCGCCGTCACATGTGCATAATACCTGGCAAGTTAGTCCAATGAACAAGTCATAAAGCATCCAAAAAAAAGAAGAAATTGCAAAACCCCCAGGTAGATGTTACTTTTAGGAAATAAGACACCATCAGCGTTTTTTGGGCGATAGCAGCGTAACCGTGAAGAACAGGGACAACAATGTAATAAATTAACATGATTTTTACATTTTCTTTGTAAATTCCTCCGAACTAACAGCACACAGGCTCAACAAAAACAGGGCGCCGAATGGAAACGCTCTCAGAGGGTGAGGCTACGTGAAGTTTGCCCTGCCTGCCCCCCCCATGCAGACCTTCTCCACATATTCGAAGACCAGGTAGAGCTTGCCCCTCCTACGGAACGCCTCCTTCAGCTCCACGATGTTCTCCTGCTTGAGGGTGCGCAGCATCTTAAGCTCCCGCAGCGTGGTCTCCTTGACCTCCTCATTCTCTGCAAGGTGGGGGGAGGCAGGGGAGAAGGGGGGGGGGGATCTTTCATTCAGGGACTGAAACACTGACCTTTATTTACAGATAACATGTGGTATTGGAGATCCCAGTCCACCGTTGCCAATTGCCTGCACATAATTTAATCTTATATCCCCCAGTTATAGTCAGTAAGTTATTTAGTACAATTAAGTACTAAAATCCATTTTCAAAGGTGGGATACCTGACTTCAGTGGTAGCCAAACGATTAAATTAAACAAACACATACTTGTGCATCTTACCGAAAACATACATGGGTCATGTTTGTGCATGATCTGGCAACATACTCAGTTCCGCAGTCAGCTAAGATCGACGATAGAATATGAGAACCCTGAGCACTGGACTGTCTGTCGTCAGACCGATGTCCACAAAAGGGCATTAAAATCTGTTTACCCAATTAACCGCAGGAGCATCTTACCTTCGCTGTCCTTGAACTTCTTAATGGCCACAATTTCATTTGTCTCCTGTAAGAGAAGCAGGGAAAGTTAATTTGGAGGGTGCAGGGGATTCTGAGACGAGTCCTGGCTGGGCTTTACGTCTCCTCACTGGCACAGATTACCAGGCAACACCGGCGGTGAAAGTCACCAAGCAGTGGGAGCGAATACCGAGACGGCGGACGACACACGCCAAACGCTCTGTGAACGTAACAATTCACCAAGATGACAGAGTAATTCTTTCTGATTTTTTTTTTTTTTTAATCAGCGAGAACATCATTTAAAATCAGGTGCTGAGGCGACCACAGAAGAATGAACAGTTTGTAGTCGGAGAGCCCCCTGTCACAAAATACAAGCTAGATGTAAATAAATATTTAATAACACATTTTAAATATTGATATCTACATAAAATCTATTTGTAGCCCATGGACTGAAGCACACTCATTAGCGCTCCGGCGGATAGCCTGATGAGCGCTCGCACGCGTTTTCAACATCACACGAATTCTTGAAGATTTCCCAAGCTGACCTTCAAACATAAAGTAAGATTTAATTACAGCCTCAGCTAATCCCATGTCTGCGTGTCCTCTGGGCATGGGGGAGGGCTGGGGGAGGGGTCATGGCTGAGGGCGGTTTTATTTTAGGTGGCGAGAGTCCCCGGAAAAGCCCGGAAGCCTGGGAATACCTGCTTGTTCCGTGTCATTCCTGTCCTCATTACTGTAGCTGCTGAGACAGACATGGACACCCCCATCCCAGTGCATGAATTGGCTGTTCCCTCATACCTATCAGTACACCAGGGACACGCCATGGACTGGGGGGAGGGTAGAGCCTGCACACAGTTCGCAGCCCAGCGACTGAGAACCCTACATAACACCCTACGGTCTGTGACATGGTTGGCAAAACTCTACTTTCCTGTCAATCCTACCCCACTGGCCTCCACCGAGGTCAGTCAATGAAGGCTGCGCTGCCTCTGCAAATGTAACTAAAAATTTTACCTCAATCATTTTAATTTATCTCACCTTGATGGATTGTTTTTTTTTTACACGGAAGCTCAAAGAAAAGATCTCACTGCAGCCTCATTACGGGATGAGAGGGGCTACAGACAGACAACCCTGGTTCTCCTGACCCAGACAGACAACCCTGGTTCTCCTGACCCAAACCTTGTCTTCCGTGTGGAAGTGTAATCAACCGAAACATTAATTTCTTCATGGCTGCTTATGGAAATTGCTAGTATTCATTTGAACCTAGTTCTTGCTTCAGACTGGAGGTAGCGGATCTCTGAATGGTGATATATTCATTTAATGCCTCACATCTTACCACTTAATGACTTACAGTGACCTATACAAATTCTTTCCTGTACTGTCAAAGTATCGATGCTGGCAAAACTTTCTGTTATGCAACTCTAAGTGTCAACCTTGTGTGTCATGTACACATTACGTTGTGGGGACCAAATATCCTCACAATGTGATAAAAAACCTGTTATTCTGACGTTGTGGGGACCATTTTTTCAGTCCCCACAAGGGGAAACTCAATTTAAAAAAAATCTGTGACTGCAATCAAAGAACTAAAAATTGTCAAAGTCATGTATTTTGTTCCTTATGGTTCCTTATGGTTAAGGTTAGGGCTGGGTAGGGATTAAGGTTGCTTTTGTTGGGATTAGGGTTATGGCCATAGAAATGAATGGAGAGTCCCCACATAGATACATAATCTGTGTGTGTATGTGTGTGTGTGTGTGTGTGTGGTCCTAAGGCTGCTACAGACTGTGTGACAGGTGATGTCGCTGAGGTTGACAGCCACATAAATAAATGGATGCCACAGCAGGCTCCCCCGCTGCCTTGAAAAGAGAGATGAGGCCCAGTACGGACTGAGTATGCGGCACCATGCTCCAGACGCCGCCAGTGATCACTGCCCCTTTGTACTTCTACGGAGTCATGCGACTCTCTCGTCCCCGAGGTCCACAGTGGACCATAAGACCTTCTGAAGGACCCATTGTTCTGTCTGTGTGTGAGCGTGCCACAAGCGGCTCTCCATCGGCACTGCTGAACATTCTGTAGGGGTAGTACCACCTTCCGGCCTCTCAGGGGCGCCAGCAGCTGTCACGTTCTGGGGAGTCGTCAGGGGTAAAATAGGGAGCACAAACTCTGGAGCACCCGGATGGTCATGTGGCGTGCTGTGGAGCAGGTGAACAGCACCGACACACACGAAGCACATCACTGTGACTTCGTGTTAAGAATCTCAGCCCGCTGACTGTGAACGCACTGAGAATGGCCTCCACGTGTCCCAGCGCGCCGACTGAGAAGGATGGTGCTTTTAATAACGTCACTCACCCTGGTGGAACCAAACGTGAATACTAATCATGCCGATTACCCTTTAGATGGCACTACAGCCAAGAGAAACTGGAATAATTAAATATTATAAGTTGAATATGAATATGAATAAGGCAGAGCAGATTGTATCTGACAAACACGCATGTCTGTTCCCCTTATTAGCTGACTATAATTAACAGATCAATCACTTAAAATTTGCGACAGTGTTAGGTTGTAATTGGACTAATTCTGAGTAAAGGTTTTTGCGATTCTTCTTTTTCCAAGACTGGTGAACAAGTAATCCACTGGAGGAACAGTGGGTGGGAAATTAGGGGCCAGGTACCTGGAGAACTGGCAGTGAGTGGCAAGGTGACTGTAAGGAGACCAGGCATTACTAACCGATCAGAGATGAGACGCAGGAGGCTAAACATCACTGAAAGGAACTATACGGTATTTATCACCTACCTTGTGTTTACGCCTCTCAGTTGTCTATCTTCTTACATTTATTCTCTGTCTGTTTACGCCATAGTTGTTAATTGTCTATTGTCCCGGTGCCTCCAACTATTGCAAGCTGTGCCAACACAAATTTCCACCAGCCTTAACTGTGTGACAATAAAGATTCTGATTAAGTGGCACTGCCTGAAGGAATGGACAGACTAGGCGCTTATATGGAAACCAGACATTAGTAACTGATCACAGAACCGAAGTGAGAGACAAGGCATTTCTGAAGGGGCTACACATTGTTTACACACAGATCACAGCAGCAGTTCATACTAAAGGGTGACGGAACGCATGGAAGGAAAGAATTTGACCTGAATTTGACCTTTGGGACGGGCAAGGGCTAATGCTAAAACCAAATCAAAGCAAAAACACACACATTCACCTATGATGTGGTAACACTATTACAGCCCTTCTTCTGAATCACATCCTGTTGTTTTTTCCTACAGCTTTCC